TTTCCAGAGAGTGAGAAGGGAAAAAGAAAGAAGGGATGAAGAAGGAAGGAAAAAGTTGAAACAAGAAAGGTAAAAAGAAAGAGGGAAGGAAAAGGAGAAAAAAATAAAAAGAAGAAAGAGGAGGTGGGACAAGTGGAGAGAAGGAGGAAAGAAATACCAGATCTCTTACAGGGCATCACATGAAGCCACATGGACTATTATTTATGCTACAATGTCCCAGACTGCTTGATGAATGCTAGTGCTCTAGACACTTTTTAAACAAATCAAAAAAAAAAAAAAAAAAAGGGTGGTGGTGGTGGTGGAATGAATGGAATCTCATTCTAGTCTTATGGCAATATATAAAATGATGTCTCAATGTTCCTTCTAGTTTATAAGTATGTGGCCAAATAATGCACTTACCTGAAAATTTCTCCAAATTATTTCTTGGCAAATATTTCTTCACATGAATCAAAGCAAAATGTTCTACAAGATTGTAGCTTTTCAGGAAACCCAGTATAAAATGACTATTCTTAGAAAATGCAGAAACTTCTCCAAAACAAATCACCCTGATACTTGCTTTAGTTCTACCTTTCATTATGACAGGTACATCTCATACATGGTAATGTATGTGTCAGAAACTTTAATTTACATTTTAAAGATAAACATTTCTCACTACTTAAGAGGGAAATAAATAAATAAATCTATCATCAAATACATCGAAATGTTAAAGTATTGAATGCATTTTAATATAGCCAATAAAGAATTGAGCATATTAGGGAGTCATGCAAGAAATGTCAAGTTGACATAAACTTGGAGAAAAAAAAAAAAAAAAACGAACTCACTGCCATTGTATCAAATCTGACTCATCGCGACCTCTCCTTGGGTTTCCAAGGCACTATCTCTACAGAAGTAGATTGCCCAGTCTTCCTTTGGAGGAGTGGCTGGTGGGTTTGAATCACAAGCCTTCTAGTTAGCAGTCAAATGCCTTAGGCACTATGCCACCAGAGCTTCCTCCCCCCCCAAAAAAATAAATAAATAAAGCATAATCCCTTTAAAATTTTGAACTTTGTTTTTTGCTTCTGCTATTGTTAAGTAGGGAGCTCTGGTAGCATAGTGGCTAAGACACTTGCCTGCTAACCAGAGGGCTGACGGTTCAAACCCACCAGCCACTCCTCGGAAGGAAGGTTGGGCAATCCTACTTCTGAGTCGGGTTTGACTCGACGGCACATAACAACAACAACAACAACAGCATTGTTAAGTAAGAAGGAGCTCTGGTGGCCCAGTGCCTAAAGCATTTGACTGTTAACCAGAAGGCTGGCAGTTAAAACCTACCAGTTACTCCACAGAAGGAAGACTGGCCAATCTACTTCCATAAAGATTTACCACCTTGGAAACCCAATAGGGGTCACTATGAGTTGGAATTGACTCAATGGCAGTCGATTTGGTTTGGTATCACAAATAAGTATTCAAGAAATCACTCTTCTATGGTAAGTCCTTTAAATAGATATGTATTACTGTTCAAGAACAAAATTGAATTCTATATAAGCTATCAATAGCTTTGATGAGTGCAGGATATGATGATAAACACCCAACCATTTCCAAAACCACTTATTCAGTAATGAATGAAACATAAGTTTCTTGCAAACATAGGCTCTTTCTCAATGTCTCTCTACCAAAGAAAGTGTTTACCTGAATCCATTTGGAAGCATTTTAGCACTTGAATTTGATACATTCTTTTGGGAAATAATAAAGGAATTATACAGCTCATCCCAGAGGGCTAGAAAAAGCAATATATAGGCCTGTTCAGTGATATGCTGTCAACATAAAATCAATTATACATGCTTTAGAATAAGCACTAGGTTTGGATGCCCACAGGTATTATTGAATTCACAATGACTAAAACAGCAGCTGAATACTTTACTCAAGCTCTCTAGATGTGTTAAAGAAGTCTAACCCTTTAAATTCAGTAGTTGTCATGTTAAGTGATATTTTGAAGAGATTTCTTAACATTCTGAAAGTAAGCTGAGGATGTCATTTAGGCAATATAATCATTAATTTATATACATAAATCAAAACCAAATTACACATTCATTATATTCATCAATGTGTAGTTCCATTGTTGCAGGGTGCTTTAGATTCTTTTGGATTCTGACCTATATAATGAGATATGGAACATAATCGACTAGACCACTTTCAGAAAAGCTCATTCTAAACTCTTAAACACCAAGACTTTAAAGAGCATATTTTTTCTATGGCTTTAGTGAAATGCTTATAAGCAGTGAAGGAGCCAAAAGGAGGGAAACTAACCTGAAAGGTAATAACACATGAAAGGCCAATTGTGAAAATATTAGATCTCCTGAAAGAAGATAACTTAAAAGGGATAAAGGCATCAGTCAGTTCTTTTTCCACATCTCTCATCTTTTAAGCTTTCTGCTTTCCTTTGACTTTTTAGTATTCCTGAGATAGTGCATGTGTGCTGGAGAAAATATGTTGCACACCCTATCTTTTTAATCAGGAAGCCACCAAGAAATCCCTGGAGTTCAGAACTTGCCAGTGTTACAGATGTCGCTTCGTAATGAGTGAACTACTGGGATTGCTACAAAATTATCTGGAATTACTGCAACTAGTGAAAGATAATATATAAATCTCTTCATCTACCAAGTGTAATATAGCTTCTATAAGCCCTAAGTAACCTAAATGGCCCTATTTGTCTTAGGCAATCAAATGAAATAAAGATGAACAAAAACACATAAAAAGGAAATCTGAGGCTCTGTGCTACAGAAATCCTTCAGTTAATACCTTGAGGAAACAAAACCACCCCAGTAAGCAAAAGAAATGGCTACCTTTAAGGTATGATTTCAAAGTTTTTATATTTCTTCCGGTTATATTCCTGTGTATATTCTTCCTGTCCTATAATACCAGTTCAAAAGATATTATCCTAGTGTTTGAAATCCACTCATGACTCAGTTATTTGGATTAAGCCAAAAGGCCTGTGTTAAAATGCTTATCTTAAGCAGGAAAAAAGTTGGTATTGAACCTGAATGTACAGAGTGATTTGGGGAAGTCTGGTTTGTGTGTGTGTGTGTGTGTGTGTGCGTGTGACTTACTACATGCTCCTGACTCAGACACATGATTGGTGACAGGGTCAGCTGGTGCACCCAGTTTAGAGGGCAATTAGGCAATATCTACCAAAATTAAAACTGCTAACTGATCCTGCTAGGACTCTGCCATATAGATGTACCCACAAAGATAGACAAACTAAAAAGGCACTTTGACATTCATAGACATACTCAATCAAAACACTTGTAGACACTCAAGCAAAGCAAAATAAAAACAAACCGAAGTGCTCACCAATGCAGGCCTGGCTCAGTGAGTCATGACACAATCATACAATGGAAGCTGCTAAAAACAGTGAGGTGCATCTCAAGTGCTGTTTTGAAAAGTGTTCTAAAATATATTTATGAATAAATCAAAATGAAAACACCATGAATTAACATTTTTGTAAATTAAAAGATACATGAATATGTGTATATATTTATATAAGCACCCCAACCCTAGAAAATACATAATGTTCCAATGTGGAGAGGGATTTGTAGTGAGGGATTAGAGGGTCAATTTTAATGATATTTGAATGTTTATAAGAGTCTCTAGGGGGAGTAAATGGTTAAGCACTAGACTACTAACCCCAAAAGTTGGCAGCTCAAACCCAACTTGAGGTGTCTGGGAAGACATGCTTGGCAACCTGCTTTGGAAAAGGTCACAGGCTTGAAAACTCAGCACACACGCAGTTGCCATGAGCCAGAATGCACTCTCCGCAACTGTTATTTTTGTTGTTGATAATGTTTAAAAAGAGACCTGTACTACACAGAACAATCAGAATAGAAATACTGCAAATGTTCAATGTGAAGAATGCAACCAATGTCACTGAACAATTTATGTAGAAATTGTTGAAAACGAACTTAAACTTGTGTAAACTTTCACTGCAAATACAGAAAAAAATATTATTAGAGAGAGACGGAGGAGACCTGTCTTCCCGCTGACAGTCTGCAGGAACACAGTGGCGGTTTTCTGAGCAGCCCAGCACCCGCTACCCCTCAGGCTGCATCATTACCTAGTAACCAGTGCTACCTTCAGATCAGAAGGTCCCAGGACCCACAGGAGATGGTCCTTAAAGAGGCCCCTGGATAAACCCATCTGTCTCCAACCCAATGCCGTTGTGTGGGATCCGATTCATCTGTCTTCAAAGGGCCTCCTTTTACTGACCCCTCACTCTTTGGAGGAATTTGCCAGTCTTGCCTCGGTTTCACCCAGAGCGTTCCCTGTAATATCTCAATTGCAAGCATCTGTTTCTCTGTTGAAGTCTACCAGACAGGAATGCGTCTCAACCCCAAAGTACCTTTGCCAGATACAATCATTTAGCTGTTTGGATCTAAGTAAAATCTACAAAACATTCCAAACGAAACAGCACACTCTCCAAAAGTGTCTTGATTTTAAGCTATTGCCTGTTTCTGCCATCTATCAAAGGTACTTTTTGGGTTGTTGTTGTTGTTATGTGCCGTGGAGTCAGCCCTGACTCATAGCGACCCCTTCTTGGGTTTCCGAGGCAGTATCACTACGGAAGTAGGATTGCCCAACCTTCCTTCCGGGGAGTGGCTGGTGGGTTTGAACCGTCAGCCTGCTGGTTAGCAGTCAAGTGCCTTAGGCACTACGCTAGGTCTCCTCCATCAGCTGATAATCCATCCAAGAGCAAAAACAGGTAAAATAAACAAGCAAACAAAAAAGCACAAAGAACGCACTATGCGGGTGCTTTGCGAGCGTGGCCTCCTAGGGTTCCCACTTTCTGAGGTCTCCTCTTCTAATGCACACAAACCGCCAAGCAAGCACCCGCCTCGTCTGTCCACGCTTCCTGCCCTCCTTTTCAGGCGCTGCCAACAAGGAAACCTCCAACTGCCGAGGACAAAACGAGAACTGGTCCCCACCCGGACTTTAGCCCCGTCCAGACAGCTGATCGCTGTAGGTACCTTAAAGGAGTCTTTGCCGTCGTCCATGTCTTCCTCCACACCCTCGTAGACTACGCCCTGGGGCTCTTTCTTCTCTCCAGGGCGCAGCATCTTCCTCAGGCCGGACTTCATTGACCTCACCTGGTGCAGCTGCTTCCCACAGCCCCCGGCACCTGAGGGGACAGGGCGCAGTGAACGGCTGACGCCGGGCGCAGCAGCGGAAGCGGCCGCCGGGAAGCAGCAGCAGGAGTCTGGCCCAGCGGCCGGGCCCGCGCCCGCGGCCGGAGCTCGCAGTCACGGTGGAGTCCTTAGGCTGTGAAAAACTCGCTCTGCGAGAAGCTAAGAAAACTTCTGGAAGGAGTTTTTCCGCCCAAGGTACTTATAGCGCGGACCACAGGCTCTGTGCAGGCAGAAGGCAGGAACGCAGCCCTCCTGTCGACGAAGGACAAGGAGGGGCCAAGCTGCGTCTGTCCAGCGCTTGCCTCGCGAAGGCAGAAAGCAAAAGTTGTCTGTCCCTCCAGCCTGTTTCCAGCAGCGTACTTTCTCTAGTCAAGTGGGCTAGGTCAGTGCGGAATTCAGTGACTCTGTTACAATAAAAATAGTGCCTTCTTTCTCTTCACCTCCATCCCACTTTGCACCTCCACCCTGCAAACCCCAGTTGTCCAGTGAGTGAATGAGTGTTTATGTGTGTGAGGAAGAGAGAGAAATAGAGGGAGACAGAGAATTAATAACTGGCTACATTAGGAAGACATTTGGTCTCCTTCCACTAAAACCCTTCTGAATTTCCTATGTCCACCTCCTTTTGAAGGCCTCTTTGAGGTGGAAATAAGGTTTTTTAGAAAACCTCTTTCCAGGTATTTAGAAGACGAACTAAATCCTGGTACTGATTTGAGGGACTATATTAGATCAACCACCAGCCACTCCTCGGAAGGAAGGTTGGGCAATCCTACTTCTGTAGTGATA